AAAAATTTGAGCGCCTTCACATGTCTTAAAAGCAGGCATGGTGCGAGTCCGAAGGGATACCGAGTCCGAACCGAGTCCGAGTCCCGAGTCTATTTCGAGTCCGGTGATCTTTTAGATTCTTTTTTGATGAGGATAATTTGCAATAAGGTAACTTTGCATCTCCATCTCCCGAATAAAATTTTCAATTTCTTGTGAAACAGAAGGTATTGTTATTTTGCTTTTTATTTTTGTCCGTTCATTTGTGTTAAAAGTTGAATAGATCGGACTCGAAATACAAAAACTCAAGTCCGAGTCCTTCAAAAACATATCCAGTCCGAGTCGGAGTCCGCCAAAAAATCTTCCTGTCCGGACTCGGACTCGTCCATGCCTGCTTAAAAGTTAATGTATTTAGGGGCCTTCACTTTTTTAATTTTTCTAATGCATTTTTACAAATTCGACATCTACAAATGCCTTATTTACTGACGCATTTAAACTTCTTAAATTTTTTTACACGTTCAAATGCATAACAATATTTCTCGTCCGTTTAATGGAGTCACATGTATCCAAATTAATTTCATGTATTTACACGCCCTAAGCATTAATATATTCAAATGTGTGAAATCCTTTAACGCATTCGGGTGCATTAAAATTATTTTTCGTAAATTTAATACGTTCACAGGTTTTAAGAGCTGTCTAATGAGTTCTCAGGAGTTAAAAATTACTGCATGTGAACGTATTACTGCTTTCTAACAACAAAAATGATGCTAACATTCTAAAAGGAAGTGTTGTTACTTTTTTCTAACAATGGCATCGGATTCCTCTCAAAAAGTTTGGCCTAGGGTGATTGCTTCGGGTCAATTAGACATACTGTAGAGGACCTAGAAACTTTTCCAAAAACTGATACCTTCTCTCGATATGGTCAAAACCGTTTTTCATTAATCTCATTTTAATGCACTTTTAAGTGTGCATTAAACGAAAATTAAATAATTTGCGCTCAAATAATTTAACATGAGGCTAAAACGCATTTTTTCGCTAAGATAACACATTCAAATCTCCGTTTTAATTCGTTTTAATGCATTAATGATTTTTTTATAGATGCAAACTTTTTCATTTACTTGTGGTATATAATATTTAACGCATGTAAATGTGTTAGAAATCTTTTTAAAGTCAATTAATGTGTGTGAACTTATTATTATTTCGTGTTATTAAATGCGTGATAAAGTCAAAAAAAATTCATTTGGGATCGCTTTTTTTTGCACAAAGATTCCATTCTAAATTTGATTACTCCTTTAGTAAAGAAATGTCCAATTGTGAGTTTTTTTGCACTGTATATTGCCATCAATCCTCAGGTCTCAAAAAATTATATTCGTGCGGGCCTATGTATGAAAAACTATATAAGTGTGGAGCTAATGCTAGAAAAACTGCCGATCCGAGTAGTAATAGGATTGTAGCATCTCTCTCCTGTAATGAGCATGATTTTCTTACAGCAGCAAAAGAACCATACACGGCAATAAACTTTTCAAAGCGATACATGCAGGAACGTATTTCTTAGTAGACTGCTGCGGAGCAGTCCCGAATCCCATCCCGTCTGTCCCGTCCTGTGGAACAGACGGGATCGGGACAAAAAAAAATTTACGGACTTGGGCGCATGGGCCCGGGGCAAGAAAAAAATTTCACGGGCTCGGAACAAGTTGCAGAAAAATGTTGTTTCGTAAGTTTTATCTTTTGATTGTAATTATACTGCAACTTCAAATGTTTAATTCTTGTGATACTATCAAGTCAATATAAATTTAATATCAGTAGGCGATGATTTTTGAAATAATTTCATGTTAATTGCAGCTAATTGAATTTTATTCTACAAAACTTGATATTTCAACCATTCACGGTCATCGTCAAAAGTGAAAATGTACACACAAGACGTATAACGGTACTGAGCGATCGGTACCATTTAGTATTGATTCTTGTGATTGTATCAAGAGTGATTCTTTTATTAACAATTTATATTTGTGTTGTTCACTAGTGAGAATTTCAAAGTCATTTGGAGTAATCAAATGTGCAGTCGCCTGATAATGCCTACCAATGGCCGACTTTGCCAGTACCGTTTGTTTTTGATTATCATTATCAATGTTTGGGTGGTGAGTAACTCATCAAACTAAACTTGAGAAGATGTTTCATATCTAAAATTAGGTTTACAGTTCTTTCCTTTCGATTCTGAGGTAGTGAGTGGATGTAAAACATTTTTTTATACAGAAACTTTTAAGTTTAGATCCAAATAAATCAGGCTTAAATTTTGTCATGTGGACTTTTTTCAAAAATAAGTTTGAGACTTTAAGCGTCTCTTGTAACAGTTACGTTATATCACAACAGAAAAAGTTTTTCTAAAAATTACGGAACAAACAGAACGGGACAAAAAAGCCTGTAAATTTTTTTTACGGTACAGTCGGGTTCGGGACAACATTGTTTACTCACGTGGTCGAGCTTACGAGACAGGACAAAAATTTTTATGTTCGGACTCGGGGCAACAGAAAAGTTTGTCCTGGAGATCTACTTCCTAGAGAAATACGTAGTTTTCCAATCAAGAATCGTTCAGTTTTTATTTCGAATTTTAAGAAAATCCACTGTTCAGAAATATAATTCTTTACAGTGCAACACCTACTTATTGTCCTTAATATATTTTTTTCATGAAGGCAATACGCCAATGAAGAATCCTACGGAATATTGCACGCATATTTGTAGAAGGTTCTATAAAATAAACTTCTACAAGAGAGTGATTCAAGATAATGCAGCACCATGTAACAACAGTTCCAAATTAGTGAGAATAATTTAATTATGGGAAAATTTTGGATAATCATAGAAGGTTGATTAAACAACACAGATTAATAAAATATCTTCCTTTTTTAAATATTTATGTTCTCTAGAAATACTACCGATGATATGTACCAACCAGACTGCTGAAAGGCCAATTTCGGAGAGGCTAAAAGTCTTCTACATTGAAAAGGTGCTAGAAAGAGAATAGTCGTTAGAGTACGCTAGGTGTTAACGACTGAATGTCGCTGCTACGGCATGCGAAAATTCTGTTACACATCTTTTTGTCATTCGCTTAGTATTTTTCATTAGATATACGATACTGAATGAACGAAATACCGTGGATACGAGTTAAAGGATAAATTAGGACTGAACTTGCCCGTTTCTGACTTTTCGCTTTATATTACTAATAGTTATAACGGTAAGCTGATCAAAAATGGTGCTTAGATTATTCCGACTGTTCGGGACAAGCAAATTATATATTTTGATTATTTTTGTAAGAAGATATTGACCTGTGTGAGAGAATGTTACAAAAACATAACAACGGCGGCTAACAGATGAGTTTATTTGTATATTGACCTCTATAAATTCGAGGAATTTGGAAGATAGTGATGGTAAAAATTGAATCAATCGTAACAATATGAAGAACGAAAGAGGAAATAAATAAATTCAATTTGTTTATTTAAATAAAATCAGAGAAATATATAGGTATTCCTAATTAAGAAGGTTTTTGACAATTTTTATTCTTGAAATGTGAAGAAGGAAATGAATAAGGACATATAATTTAAGAAATTCGACATATCAAACGTGGTTATAAAATCACTGTTGTCCAGGGTACTGGCGTATCTTCTCCTCAGTAAATATCATTAGTCATGCGGGAAAAACTATCTATTACTTAATACATATTTTTTATTTTAGATTTATTAAATGCCATTTAAAAAATATCGACTCAGCATCTGCACACATACTGCTATTTTTTTCCTATTAGCATCTTCTGAACGAGTTATAAGAATCTACAGTTCTTGAGACTAAGACTAAGACTATTTTATTCACGAAAAGAACATCGTTAACGAGCAAACGCAAATCATAGAGCTTAAAATACGGTTCAAGTAAAAAATTTCTCGAAATATTTGTTAAATCAGGATGAAAAAGTTAGCCCCCGATACATTCACCCTGCCTACTGCTCTAATATTTTGCGCAAAACAATTAGAGAATAGGAAGAATTGTATAAAGATATGTTGAGATCAAAGTATTTGATGCATAATATCACAGTTCATAGTTTGTTTGCTGATAACGAATATCATCTGGATATTAAAGACATTGATAATGAGTTAAGATTTGTCTTGAGGTGATATAGAACGGATATACTTGCGATAAAGGAAAAAAGAACAAGATAACGATGAAGAATGTGAATTTGTATCACTGTTGTCGAGCCATAGTAAGCATCACGCAAGCTTTGCTAAAAACCTCCGTCGAGTCTAATAACTCTAATAACAAAAAGCATAGTAATCACTGTGTTTTCGCATAACACCTATTTTTTTATGTTTAAATATATGAGTAAAAGAGTTTGAACCGTCTCAAAGTAGCGAAGATATATATCTAAAGTTTGTTTATTCATAGTTTTATGTCTTATTACCGCTAAATAATGAATATATTTTCTTTTATTTTTTGATGTTAATTATGTATGTTTGTATGGTGCTGTTAGAGAAGTTATGCTGACAATACCATTCAACACCAAATGGAAAAATCAAAACATACTCCAATTTCAGTCAGATCGTCGACATCAATCGAATATCCTCTAGTTACACAAGATCATCAAAGTGGACTCATTGTTACTCGAGGAATACCATTGACAAGTTTACACCACACACAGCATCAATCATCTGCACAAGGTAAATTATCACGTCTACTATCGAAAAACATTTTTGTAAAATGCTTTTACAAAAATATTTTTCAGTTATACTAAATATACTTAGTTTTATAAAAAAAACGTAAAAAAGCCAAAGAATGTCAATATATGTCTACTATCGGACTGTTTAGTTCTTATGAAGAAATTTCATGTATAATAACTTCTTATTTTAGCTTCAACCGCTGACAAGAGTGTCGCTCAGCCTCATCGATCCCCAACCACGTCACTACCACTTTTACCTGCACATCAAAAAGTTTCCAGTTCCATCATTCCATCAACAATATATAGTTCACCTCTTCCTGCTCATACTCACACACTAGCTAAATCTACAACCACCTTTCCATTGACGACAAATGAAGAGGAATTAGCTCTTGACTTTTCATATCGGAAAAAAAGTAACAAAAATGTAATTGAATGGCAAAATAGTAGTTCAATAGATTCTTTCATAACGGACGTATTTAATGCAAATGAATTTCAATTGTTGGAACAACCTGATGAAAAAGCGACACCAATTAATCTTGATCTCGAAATACCGTTAACTAAACAGTTGATAAATAGTAGACAGTTAACTCATTATAAGCAATTTTGTTCTGCCAGCGATACAGCAGAACAGTCAGATAAAACAAAATCAAAACTGGAACAAGACCAACATTATCTATGGTAAATCAATTGTTCTTGTCGCTAACGTCTATAGAGTAGTCATAAATCATGTTAAACGATGATACTGCATTTTTTGTACAATTTTTTTTTATATTTGTCTATTTAGTTCGTCACAGCGTCGTGTCACATCATCCTGTTGTGCATGTGAAATAACTCTCAATGAAATTACTCTATTGGATGATAATAATCAAGAATTATCGGACGATCAACCTTTTAACTGGTGTTCATATTTATCTTTAGTCAGTTGTCGATCTGTCGCAGAAGATTATTTTGATCATTATATATTCTCAATTGAACATGGATTCAAAGATGGAATGAAACTCGAATATTTATACGATAAACAACATGATTATTATTGGTTAATAGAAATTCAATTATCATGTAAAAATTTGTTACTACTCAGATATGTTGGATTACAAGACAATGATGACGAATATGATTTTTGGTGTGATGTCTATCAGAAAGAATTACATCCAATTGGATGGTGTCGTGAAAATAAAAAACTCATGTTTCCACCAACGATTGTTACAGATAGAAATCAAAGTGGTACAAATAAACCACCATCATTTGATATTGAAAAATTACATGAACAGGAGATGAATGGTGAAAGTGCACCAGCGTATTTATTCGATAAAGTAAGAAAAATTCATGCTCAATTAAACAACATGAATATTCTTTATATTATGTTATTTGTATTTAGGATATTGGTTTAACTCCGTGCGATCAATTAAAAGTTGGTATGATTTTGGAAATTCAAGGTGAAGTACGACCATGGACAGTATGGTTTGTTCGTATTGCTAAAAATCAAGGTGGCTTATTAAAACTGCATTATGTTGGTCTTGATGATAATGAATCAGACTTTTATTTATTTTATTTGGAATGGAGGTTACATGTCATAGGTTGGATGGCTGCAACGAATTCCACAGACTTTATTTATGAATTACCCGTACATTTGTTACCCAATGAGAAAATAGATCGACAAAAAATTATACAAGAATGTGGACGAAATATATGGTTTATACCACCACACATATTTAAAGTAAGATAGGATAACATTAGAACTAGGTATGGATCGGTACAGTTATCGATTAATAACTAACTGGTCGAACAGTTAACTATTGACTCCTCGTCACTTAAGAAGTCTAAAATCTCCCTTCTACCATATGTAGCTTCCGATGATTTTTAGTTACATACCAAAATGACTATACATGCACTTGTACTCGAGCAGAATTTTATTCTTTTTGTCTCAAAAATTATGATACGTACGGAAATTTTTCCAAATTTACCCATAAGATCTTGTCTTTTACGCATTTCTCGCGTGCAGACAAATTTTGTTTAGACATAAATCAATAACATTACTCTCATTTCGAGTTAAAAACAGTGGATAGAACATGTCACAACGGCTATTTACGATTCTGATGCACACTTAGTTAGAATAGTTACTAAAATCGTCATTTCACATTTATTCATATTTTTGTCATGTTTTTTTCTTTAAAGCCTCAAGATGTGATACCTAAACATCGTTTTATTTCTGGTATGAAACTAGAGGTGTTTGAACCATCGAATCAACATGTATATCCTGGAAGTGTTGGTCATGTACATAATGAATATTATTTTGATGTTCATATCGATTCAGCAGTAGTACAAGATAATGATATACAACAACACCAGTTTTGTGCTTATGCCTCGCATCCATTTATTTTACCAGCCCAATGGGCTACACAACATAAATTAGCATTAATGAAAACAAAATGTAAGATTATCATCCGCTTTTCACCTTCAATACATTTCGAGACAATCAACATTGAAAAAAAAAATAAAACAAAAGGAATTCTTTTATTTTTATTCTACTTTTTAAAAATTTTTTTAGCATCTCGTCATCCTGAAGATTATTGGAAATTGTATGCTGAAAAGAAAAGTCAAGCGGATGAAGCAGTTGATATTGCACCCGAACGATATTTTCAATTACCTACATTATCTTCGACAACGTCTAGAATTGAACCAGGAATGAAATTAGAACTTATTTATCCTGCTAATTCCAATAAAATTGTCTCTTCAACAGTTGTTCACATTGCTGATCATTTAATTTGGTTACGAGTCGATTCTGAACATGGTATCTATTCTGTTGTTCCAATTAATTCAATGAAAATATTTCCTATTGGATGGGCGAAATATAATCATATAGACTTTATAAAACCGCTGAGATATTCGGTTAATGTTAAAGTATCTAAACAAAATCGTTACGAGTAAGTAAAAACATGAAACAAAATATGATATAAATAATTAGTATTCTCTATGCTTTAACTTTTTAGCTTGTTTTCCTCTGTTACAAGATGTCCAAAAATTCCAAGACCATATTTGGGTAATTAAATAGGCATATTTCATTATTTTTAGTAAAAATAATCAACAACTCTTTTGTCTTATTTCTTAACATAACTTTACACAAGTAGACATGGATCAATTATATAACTGGTGTCAGGACATCTAGGAAAATTGTTATAATGTGATCATTAAGAATCGTTTCTAGCTACAGAATGTCTTATTTTATAAAGCAATCGCTCTAGCAATTTGTGAATAAAACGTCTGTCTCTTTTTTTTCTCATTTTTCTGACTGTCTCAAAAAACAACACATTAGAAATAACTTCATACCTACACACACATAAATGTTTATTCATTTTTTTAGGTTCAGTATATATTTGTACATTATTTATTAATCATCGATGTTATTGTGGTCCCTATTTTTGTTCATCACGTCTTGCCCGTCTTCCATCATCATTCGGTCCTGGTCCATTTCATATAGTTTTAAAAGAAGTTCTTTTACGATTAATTAACTGTTCGACAAATGCTTCACGTGCTATACGTCGTCTTGAACAATCATCATCGTCATCTTCAGCACCAAATATGATTAGTGAATTGCTCAAATGTAAAAAAACGAAACAATCATTTCGTAATGTATCAATTATACGAGAACCTCAGTCACTACTAGAATATTTAAGACACGTTTGTACACAATTAGAAATGTGTCCAAATTTAGTACATTTGAAAAAATTAAATGAATCGAATGATCTATGTCCAGAAAAGTGTAAATTATTGACAACAACATTCAGTATGTTTAAATTGATAAAATAAATCATTTATATTAAATTTATATGTATTGTATTTAGCTTTCAATACTCAATCAAAAACTGTTCCGGTGAATAAACGTACAAAATTACGTTTTCTAAAACGTAAACAAAAATCATTATTATCTAATTTACAACAAAATAACAGTAATACAAAAGATGACAGTGCAACAATAACTCTCAATCTAAAAAATGACATTGATGAAACATCAACAATTGCATCAAACGGTGACGATACAATGAAAAAAGTTGAACCCATAGAGGAACTGCCAACGACTACTTGTGATCGTAAAACTCGTGGTTTTCGACTTCATATTGAACCTCGTACACACACAATAACACGAGTAGCAAGAAAAAAAATACTGACAGCGGCTGTATCGAATGATCAAAAGTCAAATAGTAATGAGATTGAAATAATTCCAAAAGAAGAACCAATTGTACCCGATGTAACAGTTCAAAATGAGCAAAAATTTTCATCTAATTCATCAGAATCATCAACGTCATCGTCAGCTACAGTTGTAAATGAGACAGGTCTGTGCATCATTATTCTTTTCTTTATATGTTGAATTGAAGCATTTATAATGATTCAGCATTTTTCTACCATTAATGTATTAGAAAAGCTGAAATAATTTGTTTTTAGATCTTGTTAGTTCAACATTGGCTGAAAAATCTAAAAATGATCAGCAGCATCGGCAACTAGAATCACCTCACACTATTTCAGTAACAACAGCAGCAATCGTGCCTTGTACCGATGATGAAAATGCTCAAAAATCTTTTCAACAAACGAACAGTGATAAATTAGAAACTTCAAAATATGCTACACCACGTCCTAAAACACTTGATTTAAAAATAGTCGTTGATAATAATCGTTCAGTGTCACGCTGTTCCTCGATTACGTCTTGTTCTTCCTCGTCTAGTTTTTCTTCTTCATTGTCAACACTAGCCACAAATTCAAATAATACGCCAATCGTATCTCCAGAATGTTCTTCGTCAGATAATAAAAATCCACTTGTTCAAAGTCCGACATCAACGAATCAAGATCAACATGTCACTACCACGACAAGAGGTGGAAAAAGAGGACGAATAACACGGAAAAATGGTAAGATTGATATCTTAAATAAGTTCATGGATAAGAGAGGAATTATGTAAGATATACCAGCAGAACAAGAAAACTAAAGCAGTTTGGGTAAAAATGACTATGATACTCGAAATCAGCAACGTCGATTACATCTAGTCGTGTATATTTTGAGGAAAAAATGGTGATACACTTGGGGAGTTTCCCTCGTGAGTTATAAAGAGAAAGAGAAATGATTTTATTTATTTAGATAAACCTCAGCCGTCAAAAATAACAACAGCAACAACTAATAGTAGTCGTGGTAGTCGAGGTCGTCCTCGTGGAAAAGGTCGTGGTCGTCCATCTTTATCGAGTCGAGGTGGTAGTGCAAAACGTTCGTTAACTAACGGACATGATTTGAATGATGAGGGAGAAAATGGATTTAAAAAGTTTAAAATTGAAGAATGCGATTCGACAACAATTGTCGATAATAATAATAAAAGTGCTGACAATAATTCATCAACACCAACCAGTGATGATATGTCAACAGCAACAACTTCAACAAATATTATGAATCAGAATCTTCTTGATTTAAATCCCGTTCAATGGACAGTAATTGATGTTTGTGCATTTTTAAACGAATGTGGATGTTCATTTGCCATAGATAACATCAAAGAACAGGTAAAATTGATAAATAAAAAAAATTCGAAAAAAAGTTAGCGCAGTAAAAAAATTAATCCTTAATAAACATTTATCATCCTTCACATAGCACAACGCAGAAAAAAAAAGGAAACTGGTAGCAGATGAATATATCATCCGTTCTTTTAAGTAGAATTTTAATCATCGTATTTTATTATTTTTGTTTATTTTAGGAAATCGATGGTCACGCATTATTATTACTTGATTTGCCTACTGTTCAAGAAATGTTAGAATTCAAGTTAGGTCCAGCTGTGAAATTATGTCATGCCGTTGATCAATTAAAATCAAAAGTAATTGATACGTATAAAAAATGAGAATTGTTAACATTTTTTCTATTATTTTTCAAATCCGCTTTTTCTTTTGTTTTTTCATGTGTAATGAACAGCTGAATTTTTTTGGCAAATATAAATAAATTTTTTTTTCTGATAATTTTCTTTCTTTGTTGTGCACTCGCGCATGTGCTTTTCTCAGTGTACACATATTTAAACAATGAATTTTCTTTTTTTTCTTTTTCATATGTGAATACGATGTCTTTTTTTCTTCTCTAGGTTTTCTTGTCATATATTGTTTTTTGCTTTTGTTATTTTGTATAAATACAATCACAACAAACAAGACTTTATCTTTACTGTATTAAAAGTCTCCTACCAACTCGAACTTAGTCCTAAATCAATAAAAACAATTGAGTTGATGTTGGGGTCTCTTTAGCTTTAAATTCTCAAAAAAATATACGGTGTTCTAGAAGACTAATCTTGTAAAATCGAATCAAGCTTGTTGACAAACCACATCGCCATGTAGAGTCTTCAAAATGAGACGCCGTGCAGAGCAGTGTGACATTTGATGAGTAATTTACTGCATCTTTTCAAAACGCATTAACTCGTTAAAATGGGTAGATCTTTTTTTAATTAGCAGTATAAAGTATTTCAAAAGTCATGTTGTTTTTTGAAAGGAAAACAACCAGCATCGAAATGTTGAAAGTATATTTTTAAAATAGGCTGACGTTGTTTCAAAACTGCAGATTTTCTGAAACGCCTTTTTGCGATTTTCACAGTTTTTAACTACGATAAAAAGTAAAAAGAAAGGATATAAACAGGGATCCCAGATACAAAACACGAAAATCAGGAAATCATTAGACCTTAGGGCAAAAAGGAGCAGAAACGAGGCAGAAAAAGTTTCAAAAATCAGAATTTTTCTGTCAAAATCAGAAGATCTGGGACCCCTGGATATAAAACAAAAATTCACCTCCTACGTTCGATGAGATTGAATGTTTACTTCGATTCAAATCGTAAAATTTTTTGTAAGATTCGACAGTCTGTTGTCACGCTTTCTGGCCCGATCGGACAAGATTGTCCATTTTGGCAAGATGTATTGTCCGAACAGGCAAGATTTCCATACTTTTTTCTTTCAACGGATTAGCGCATAAATCAAAGCTATAGCGCATGTAGGCACTTATTCCACGTGATAGAGCGGCAAAAACTGCATAAAATAGAGTTTTCCTTGGATAATACGGTGCTTTCTTATACGGTCAGAAAACTGACCGACTATATCTGCCTCAGGAGTACCTTGCTCAGCCGGGCAATGTCAATCTGGCCTGAACGAGCAATATTGTCAAATAGGGGTGGCACATTACTGTTACTTTTACGAGTAATCCAAATATTGTATATATTCCTATTACCAGTAACAGTAATACTTTCCAGTTTTACTGTTGCTGGTAATAGGAATATATACAATATTTGGATTACTCTTAAAAGTAATAGTAATGTGCCACCCCCATTGTCAAATCGGGCAAGATAAATTGCACAAAATTGAGCTATGTTTGCTATTCGTCTCTGTCACAAAAGAGAAAGAAGACTGAACACATAACTTTAATATAAGATGAATAATCGGTACACGAGGAGTAGAATGAACACTTCCTGTTCATTAGACGATTGATGATTCTTGAGATCAGGCTTTGCCCGATCGGACAAGTGACAACGGACTGCCTGAAGAGGATATTTTGCTCCTTATTTTCTCAACGATTACGGATACTCTCTCCCTCTATAATAGAAGACTACTTTATCCCGCAAGCCGAGTTGTAAAGGGTGGTCTTCTATTGCGGTCAAATTTTGTCGCCTGCTAGTAGCCCAACGGTAATCCCCACGTACTAGAAGTCCATCCCCTTTCAGAAATACATTTTGGCGACATTTTTTTGAAAATTAAAGAATAGAGCATTTTCCAACTTTTTTCGCGGGCATAACAGAAGACCACTGGTCTTCTATTATGTCCGCGAAAAAAGTTGGTTGGTTTGCAACTCATATAATCGGCAGTGATCTTGTATTATGGGGAGGGGAGGGGATTAGAAAGCCGAAAATTACTTTAGAAGCATCATTTGATATAATTCATGTTTTCTGAAGTTTTTGTTGAAATCCGATGTAAAACAAAAGTCTTTTTCTCGCTTCAAAGGATCCTGCTAATAGTGGGCAATAATCAGAACTGTTAATTCGGATAATAGAATAAATTACTTATTTTTGATTCAATAGTTTCTCGATTTTTACTTAAGATATTTGCCTAATCATTTGTTGTATTGACTTTAATTTTTGATTTGTTTCTTGTCCAATATGGCAACTGCGAGTAACAATAATAATAGTAGCCGTTTAAATCGTGGCTCAAATTTTGAACGTCAAAATATTGTACGTGACGAACAAACAGGACAATCTTTTATCCCAGGTTAGAAAATCAATGAATTACGACTTCTTCACTTTTGTCTTGGATAGCAGTTATTTTTCCTTTTAGGAAGTCAACGACCAGATGGAAGTTGGCGAAAACCAATTCGTGTCAAAGAAAACTATGTACCACAAGATGAAATGCCTGGTAAAAAATAACAGTTCTCAATTCTGAGTATACATAGATTTGTAGCCTCTATATTTCTGTTTTTAGTTTATCAATCTGTTGGTCAACAATATGTAAAATCGAAACGTTTGAATCCAATTCCGGGTCTTGTACTCACTGAAGAAGAGGCATTAGAACAAGAAAAACAACGTCAGAAACAAATTGAAAAAGAACAACAACAAATGAGACAGATAGAATCAAAAATGAAAGGATTAACAACAACTAAACCAGAACTAAGTGAAACGGATAAAAGAATACAAAAAATACAAAAAGTATTAAAATCGATTGAAGGACTTGAGAAACATTTGAAACAAGATAATGTTAAACCAGATAAAAGTCAGCAAGAGAAGTTACAACGAAAACCAGAACTCGAACGAGAATTACAAGAATTATTAGATAAAAAAGACGACCAATCTTAATTCAATGAGCTGATTTTACATTTATCAGCATCTTATTATCATCATACATATGACGATATGTTTACAACGAGTTTACTTCTGCTGTTTTCCTTCTAGAACTTTTCTTTTTTTCGTTTGATTTACTCACACACGCAGAAGAAATCTTAAACCAGAAAAAAATAGAAAGAATAATTTCTAGAAGGAAAAAAACCTAGTATTAAACGTTTTGTAGACATATCTTTATATGTATGATGATAATAACACTCCGATAGTTCGTATGTGTATATTCTTTTTATTATTTGAATAAAAAAAATGCAATGTAATATTTGTGGAAGTTATTTGCTTCTGCTATTCTTATCTTTTTCGTACTGTTCTGATCATGGGATTTTAAACTCCCACTTGTCCGAAGAACCTTGAGTCAATTTTTTCAATACGTTGACGATGTGAACTACTGACCGAGGAACTATAATAAGCGAAATGTAATAATGAATTTTTTGCTATGGGATTTTATTTTCAATTTGATCTCCAACTGTGTGTCAAAAATCAACAGTGAGAAAGCAAGGCGTTTATTTAAGCAAAGCAAATTTTCATTGTATACAAGATTGTTGTCGTCTGGAAAAAGAAATCGAACTCTATTGTTTCACAATTTTGGAACCGGATACAATTAACATGTAAGAATAAAGAAATTTATGTACATATAACAAGATTAACAAGAATTGAACATAATCGTGACGTCATCATTGATGATAAGAAGCTGAAGAAATTAATCAAAGACGCTTTAATTACTATAATCAAATGGGTTTTAACATTGTGTACAACGACGTATCCACTCATAAATATTATCGTCAAAAAAAACGTAGCTTCAAATTAACAATTTTATCGATATCTAAATAGACCTTGAAATAAATGCAAATACAAAATGAGAAAGAAAAATGAAAAACGAAAAAAAAATAGTCAGTTTATTACAAATATATCGTCCTATGTTTTAACTCAACACAAATTAAATTAAAATTCATCAAGTAACAGTGTTGTTGTAACTTCACACCTGCCAAGAATTTCATGTAAACGATTCACTGTCTAATCGTAGAATATTCAGAGTTTTTTCACTGTACTATTAATAAAATATGATGATGAACAAATAATTGTCAACTTGTTCTGAAGTAACATACCACTTATTCTCAAAATGAAGGTCTGCTTTTTGAGCAAATTTATCAAGATTATTGCGTGAAGTAGGAAAAATATTGCTTCTGTATTGCATTCGAATCTGTGTAATTATTGTATTTGTCTTAAAACAATTGTAGTTCACTAAAAGCTATTATTTCATAATCCATTCTACTCCAACGGTACGAGTGACCGGTCGCATCTGGAACCGTCAGTACTGTGCTAGTAATTTTATGTTTCTCTGTTTTATCAGAATAAGTTATTAAGATGATGTACTAGCTTGTCTTTTACAGAAAATGAGTTGATGTGTGGACCTATTTAGTAACAAGATTTCATTTCTCATATGTAAAGCACACAAAAGTCACTACATCAGGATTTCTCTATGTCTATGAAAGGTCAAGAAAAGTGTTCATAACACAGATTTTGCAAAATATATGTTGGTTCGACTTCTGTCACTTTTGAGCTTAAAATTTTGAAAGCAAGTGTTGCGTATAAATCATATATTAATTTCTCTGAAATGTATCGTGTACACTATATTCTTGTAATTTTTATCTGAACAATCATCATAATTTTTTTTTTAGATAATGATTGTAAATAAGAATCGTCAAGATGAACTTTCTGTTGTTCGTGCATCAATTCCGTTGCAAGTATTATGCCACGTACATCGACCAATTGTCGTTTTGGTAAATTTAGGTTCATATATATAGATTTTTCTTGATCAATCTTATTTGAATCCTTTTTTCTAGTGGTTTTTTGCTGAAATTTTAATATTTATCTGGAAAGGTGTGATTGGAACATATTATCACGATTGGACAATCTATGGGTTTGAAATATTTGCATTATGTTTAACATTAACTCTGGAATTTATTCGTTTACAATTAACATTGTATGCAAATTTAACAGAAAATTTATTTTTAATCATATTATGTTTTATTTTATGTTTAATGGGAATTCTGGCGTTATTATATTGGGTAATATGGCAATGGATTGTATTAAAATTAGAATTTGTTATTGGACTTACACAAGTAGTATTTATATTTTGTGAATTAATTATGTCCATAACGGCTATAGCAGCATTTTGCAAAAAACCCATGAAAAGTAAAATATCCTAATTGTATTTATATAGAAAAATTATGAATTAATGACTAATGTCAGATTTAATTTTATCTTATTTAAAGAAAATTTCTGATTATAAACATGTTATGTTAATCTATACGAGAATGTATTTGTGGACAAAATTGCTTCACTGGCTAATAAAACTTAGATCTAAAAACGTATTTTTACTTAATAGTTCATAAATAAAACTAGTTTGGTATCTCTTTTTTTATTATTATTATGTAGCACAAAAAGATGTGCTAAATATTTTTTTTTAGTACAATTATTTACATTTTTTTTTGTTTTGCTTTAGTATTAAACTGAACAATGAGTGTGCAGTTTTTCATTTTTAACAAACTTTTAGTATATTTAATCTAATCCGTCCATTTTTGTTTTTTTTATTTTCTAAATAAAAAAAAGTTTTTGTAGAATAATTTCATTTTATAGACAACAAGATTGTTGAAGGCAAAAATGTGTTTTTCTTCTACTAATAACAAAGTAAATATAATTTAATTATTTTAGATTGTAAGAATGCGACAGTTTACTCGCATGTCTGTAACTGATTACAGTAGTGGCATTCGTGAAACATGGAGTATGATTATTTATTCTTTTCTTTATACTCATTTATATCATGTTTTTTTGTATATATTCTTAGGTGAAAGTCGACTATTAAAATGTAGTGTACTATTAGAAGATGCCTATCAATTTCGTTCTATTTCTCATAAAATGTCACCATCTACTGTTTTAACATGGTATAGATGGTATTGGTCATCTTATATTCAACGATTAATCGCTTTCATTGTTTCAATCTATTTATTGCTTATATTTATTCAATATCCATCTTCTCTTAGTCAATCATCGGATGTTCGAACACAGTCAACACGTCATACATTACCATGTTGGTTACAATTACTTATCGAAGCTACTTGTATATTAATATTTTATATTGATGCAATAATAAGAGTAAATAGAATGCTTCTATCGAAGATTAAAATCCTTTCGTTTTTTAGTCTTATTTAATTGGTATTAGACATGTTAAACGAAAACCATGGCTAATTGCTTATTTTGTTATAACAACCATTTCACTTATCGATTTAATTATATCATGTATAATGGGTTGTAAAGAAAAAGTAAATCTTTATTTATATGTGTGTGTGTGTATATATAATTTAGTTTATATTTTGTATCTCTTTAGACTGTGAATATTCGTCAATTATTGCGTCCATTTTTTCTTGCTGTTATATCACGTGAAATGAAAAAAATACTTAATAGTTTAAGAAAATCATTTCTACAAATTCTCAGGTATATTTATTGTAAAACTTTCATACTATGATAAAAATCTATACATATTTTTAGTGTTACAATTCTTCTCGTTATTCATGTTTATTTTTTTTCTGTTATTGGTATGATTTTATTTCCACCTGTTCAGGTAATAAGTTAAACTTTATTCAATTTTTCCTTTATTTATTTATATTGTATTCTCTTTTTTCCATTTAAAAGAATACAAAGCGATCCGATGAAGGTACAAAATATTTTCCAGATTTTGGTGACTCATTATTAAGTTTAATTGTCCTATTGACAACGGCAAACAATCCGGATAGTTCGTATCTTATGTTAAACTTCGACAAAATTTGAAATATAACTTCTGCTAATTTTAGTCACTTTACCAGCTTATTCACGAAATCGTTTGTATATTATTTATTTTGCAATATTTTTGACCATTGGTAAGGATTAAAAATATGAATGAAAAATAGAATATTTTTTTTTTAATTTTAAAATCTTTTTAAACAGGTCTCTATTGCCTGATGAATTTATTTACGGTCATTAAAATGAATACATTCAAAGAATTTTTTACAGTAAGTGAAGTCAAACTATTTCCTTCTCTATCTCTAATATATGTTTCTTTTTTGTTTAGACATCGATGCAAAATTCATTATTTCGTCGTCGATTAGCAATTCGAGCTTGTTTTGATACATTTGTTGAACGAGAACCATCTGAAAACAATGAAAATATTCAATTTGTTCTCAAGTATGAATAATTATGATTTTTATTATCCTTTTTATTATCCATCACTTCATTTTTTAGTTCAAGAACAACTGCCCCATTTCGTATTGTCAAATTTGTTATATCTTCATCCGAATTACCACCCACACATCAAAAAGAAATAATTGATGTATGTTACAAGCTATGGGTGAAACTTTCCCCTTTTTCCTCAGTTTGATTCGATTTTTCAGTCTTAATTGTAGACCTTAGCTCGTGGCGAAAATGCTAATGATATCAGTTGGGATTCGTTTTCAGTAGCCATGCTCTCATTGGATATTGATCTTGCCAAACCGGTACGTATGAAAGCTATAGCGATAAGAAATATTACTCGTCCATCCATGATGTGTCATTTACTAGGCCATTACAAATCGAGATATTCTTCTTCTTGCTATTGCACAGGCCAACTCTTGTGGTCTATACGCTAGTGCGTTTAGCTTTTAACTTTGTTTTCTTATTTTGTGTTTTGCGTTTTCATAGAGCAAAAGCACTGATCCTCTTACAAAGAAAGAATTTGTTTTTAAATTACAAAAATGAAAAAATATACCATTCAACAGCTAAACGATTGAGTTATGTTTTAGTGAAACAGATTTTCAATAATTCTATTTCGTAATTCTGACCTAAATTGACCTAACGGATTCGGAATATCTTCAAAGTCCCCGTCGATGATTGTTGAATAGATACATACATTCATTTCACTTGAAAAGCGCACATAATGAGCGAAAATTGGTCTACTTATTGGCTACTTCACTATACATCAGACATATCTCTTGAAAGCTAAGAAAGCAAGTCTAGTGAAATAGCTTATTTGTTAGAGAGTTTTCTGCTCTACAATCCTATGTAAGCAGAGAATGTTAGCGTGAGAAAGTAGAAGGTCAAAACGCCATAATTAAACAAAATGTACCGACGTAGGTGGCCAGGGCATTGCGTCAGATTCATGTAAGAAGTGAAATATTTAACCAGAGTTTGTTTTCATTTTATTTCGTTTGTAGTTACGCTCTCTGACTACAGGTCTGTGGGACCAAAAAATTTTGGTCCCGGTCCCGTAGAACGCACTCGTTTTTGATCTCAGTTCCGTAGTCCCGTAAATATTTTTTCAAAATAGCGCAGATAGTTTGAAAGTCAGCGCGTTGAAATGTGGCGCGTCGGACAGCGTGAGTGGGAGATATTAATTGAAGACTATTGGAATTTTATTTGAGTTCTTTCTCGCAGAACTAGTACCTACATACGAACAGGCACAGAAATTAAGAAATTTTTATGTTCAATACAAGACTATTTTCAAAAAGCCTGGTCCCTGCCCCATTAAAAGTCTCGTGGAACCGAGAATAACCCGCTGACCTCTACCTCTGTCATGGTGGGTTTTCAAATTTTTCACGTCAGAGCGCTTAACCTTTCTATAAATTGTAGCTTCGAATGTGTTGGACAACTTTCAGAATTATAAAATAGAGCTTTTGAAAATTTTTTTTACTAAAATACAACCAGCTATTCGATATTCATAATTAACTTATCGTTTTAGCTTGAAGAGCCTGTGCAATATACAGGCATATGGACTATAATGCAGATTATTGGCGTATCAAAATATTTAACATGGTTTGCAAATGGTATTGGTTTATTGAACGTCGTCATTTTAGTGGTCAGTGATATAGAGTATTAAAAACTATCTATCTTATATCGAATGATTTATTTTAGATTGAAGCTGGTCTTCGTTATCATTCACAATTTTTTACAATTGATGCTGTGCTATCGGTGAGTACCCAAGAATATATCTGCCATATTATCTTAATTCATTTATTTTGTTTTAGAATTTTCTGTTGTCATTTTGTATATTTTATGTACTTGAATTTCTACTTAAAATTTGGTCTCTACGGCCAAAAATGTATTTCAAATTTTATTTCAATTGTTTTGATTCTATTTTGGCTATCGTTCTATTTGTAAGCTGAATAATAGATATTTCTCTAAGCAATAAACTATTTTTTTTTTTGTCTTTTAGACTTTACATGTAACTCATTGGGGTATTTATCATAGTTTAAGCATCACGAATAGGTAAGCATAAAATATTTGAATATCATCAAACTTCTGTTTTGTTTTATTTTCTAGTGAGGTTGTTCGTGATTCTAAAGGAACAGCAACATCTCTATGGGCAATAACACGTATCATTAATTTGTTTGTTATATTGCGAATAATACGATGGATGCCACATTTTACGGTTAGAATCTTTTATATAAAATGATATTTGTGAAGATTTTCTGCCTCTATATAATCTGTCTATTTAATGATTTATTAAAATTATAGAGGGAAGAGAGTATATAAACAAATACAACATCGAGTAGATGTTGAACTGCTTCTTTCTCTATAATAACTAAATAAACACCACAACTATATATAGTAGATAGGAAAGAAAAATTTGACAAAATACCCAGAAAGAAAGAATAAGATGCAAAGACAGGATCTCTAATGGTTTTGAGAAAATTCTGAGAAAAAAGAATAAGTCAAATATAAGTAGCGAAATAAACGAAGAGCAGAAGATGAGAATACTTTCCACTACAACAAACTTTTTTCAAAATATTAATCGCTGATAAAATGTATGAAGAAAAATCTGTACATGCCATATTATTGTTATATTCAGCTTTTTAAATTGTACTGCTACAAGTTCATTTGACATCGAATTTCAACTTTTTGTTTAGTAGTGTTACATATGTGAAAAGCGTAGGCGTTTGAACATGGTATTGAGGAAACATATAATACGAGGATTTTTAGATTTTATATGAAGTTTTAGACATTAAATATAAGGAAGTTCAATCTCTATATGAATATTTTTTGGTATTGATTTTACTAAAGACAAAATTCCTTAGACTTATTGTGTATGTTCTTGAAACTCCCTACGACTGATAAAGTCCGTTCGGTTAATGAACTGTTCTCTCATGATGAATATGTGACAAATGATAATCTCTAATAGAAAGACATTATTGAGAAATTTCTATATATTCGTTTCAGAAATATGGTGTTATAATGGGTACGATAAGTGATGGTATGAGAAATTTAAAAGCGTTCGTCGGAGTTCTTATAGTTAGTATAAATTGACTCCACTTTGAACTGTCATTACATTTTTCGTTTGTGTTTAGTGTTTATTTTACAGTTATGCAATACTTGGAATGTGGCTGTTTCGAGGAGTTATTGTTGCTCCACCAGATTGGCATAACAAGTAAGAAAATGTTATCATATGACAACTTCCCGAATTTTCAAAACAAATAATTTTTAGACTGATTATTGTAAACTTCACGAAAACTGAAACTGATCAACTATCTTTGTTTTTATTGAGAATAACACTCATGTTATCTTCAAGCTATACGTATTTTATAAATTTTTTTTTAGAGATTTTCCATGTGGATCATTTGAGCAGTCAAATTATTGGGCAAATAATTTTGATGACTTTTATGTTAGTATAAAAATTGCTCTTTGCATATTTATTATGAGAATGGTATCATTTATCATTTATAGTCGTCCGTTGTCGTTTTGTATGATATAATGTTAATCAATAATTGGGGAACATTTCTCACTGGTATACGATCATTTACAACAAGGTTAGTAAACGCTAGCAATTAGATGTATATTTGTAGATCTCTCAAAAACAAATTTATAATCAAGATATTTTCTTGTATCTGGCGTTTCTATAAATTTATTATCGTTTTTTCAGATGGAGTCAATTGTATTTTGTTAGTTGGTGGTTTATATCGAATGTCTACATATTAGCACTAGTGTTAGGCTTTATTGTCGAAGTAAGTTGCGCATTTAACGAAAAGAAAACGAGCCATTTAGTATTTCTTCTACTTCTTCTGCATGAGATCCAAACTTTTTCAAAAGATGCGCCTTCAGTATCTCTGCAAACAATTTATGGACTCTTTTATTGCAAAAGACAAATGTGGAAAGTTCTACGACAAAGCTCTCAAACCGTCATCTTTCTCGAATTTATCCACATTGCAACTACATGAGAGTATTTTGGTGGTATAGTTCTTTCCTCTCCTAGGAGAATTCTAATTATAACTCGTTCAAAGTCAAACATGTTGGATTCTTGTCTCTTTGATTTTGTAGAGAAAACGCCATGTGTTACACACTACTGAATAAATCCGAAAACACTCACTAACTTTCGCTGTTCAAATCTGCTGTGTGGAAAAATCGATTTTTGTTGTTTCTCAGACAATTTTATGTGAATTCACTCTTTGTGCCGTAGAAATAGACTCTACATACGAAAGAGTACACGAGACAGTTTGAGAAGATGTAGTTTATTGTGCATCACTACGTTTAAAATATCTGAATCGGATGAAAAAAGTTGTTTGTAGAGAAAGACATGGCGCATCTTTTGGAAAAGTTTCGAAGAAAAGTAATAGATAAAACATACCATAAAAAAGGGATCAATTTTAGTGTTACCCGTTACTAATCCTTTTCTTAATAGTTTCATCAAATATTTTAGTTATTTTCTCTCAATGTTGCTCGAATCGAAGAAAATATTGGAGGAGATGGATCATCACAAACGTACTTCGTTAAAACATTATTTCATTTATTCAAGTATGAGAGAGAGCATTTCTAAATCTCTAACAATTTTAAAAACATTTACTTTATATTTGTAGACGAAGTTTACGAGAACCATCCGATGATGAAATTAATTTCGCATTAAAAAAATATAAACGACTATATCAGAATACAGAAGAAGTAAATTCTGAATAATAGACTATCATTTAATTTAATCATAAACTCTATAATCGACAGTGATATGTTAAAAATTAATTATTTTTGTACAATTCTTTTTTATTTTTTTTTTGTATAATTTTTGTGCAATAAATAAACACATTTTGAACAATCAAACAGTCCAATTTTCTTTCAACACCACAAAATGTCTGTTGTTCTTGTATTTATAACAGTAAGAAAATAGGTATGATGAAGACTATTCAATTTAGATGAAAAATCAAAACGAATGAATCATATTAAATTAATTTCTTATTCTTATCTTTTCAAATCCATAAGCTACATATTTTAAAGTTCTTGTATCTCTTTCTATGATTTATTATGTTACGAATAATAATTTTCTTTCATGATATTTTCCACTAAAACAAGTGTCTATTGAGACAAGAACAAGGAAAATAATAGTTTAATTCCTTAATAGATACAATAGAATAAGAGACATGACAGGGACGATGTTTCTATCGCTCATAAAATCAATTATTTAGTTAAAGAGAAAAAATATATTTTTACTAAAGGTTATCCAGAATTTTTCACTTATTCAATATAAGTAAATCGACTTTTATTTTGTTGTCATGTGAAATAATATGGACATAATATTTTTTTACTAGTATTTGTCGATTTTATGTATAAAAAAGAACTTTGTACACTTTGTTCGAATGATCAGAGTATAAAAAGTTTTCAGAAACATTAACCTATATTCACGATCATTGTATGATTAAATATTTTTCCAGGAATTGAATTTTTGATGTGTTCTACATCTTCGATTCGGCATGTCATTTACGCATCAGTGATTACTCTAGGCGCCACTACTTGTATATTTGTTTCAATTTGGTATATTGTCAAGAAATTAGATGAAACCGTTCATTGTTAATATATTTTTTAACTTCCACATTATCAAATTTTTGTTTTTAGGATGACCATTATACGCTCAAATTTATTATTCTATGTTTTTTACTGTTTATGGCAACGATATTTGCAAAGATATTTGGTTTAATGATATTAGAAATATGTTATGATACATTTTTTTTTAATGGACAATGGGTGAATGAAATTAGGGAAGTATACATGATACATGTTTGACGAATAAGAAGAACAGTTACTTTACACTGTCTTTTCATTTTCATTATGGAAAACGAATGAATAATATTCGCTTTCGTTGACCGTCTTCGCTGTAACACTCAGAGCAAAGAGAAAAATATATTCATACTGCTATTTATTTATAATAAAAAGTCTTTTCATGGTCATCCGACGAATACTTTACACCATCTGTCCATTCATTGTTTTAAACAATATGTTTTCTTGAAATGACACACACTATCTTCGTGTTTATATTCATAGTTGAATAATTTTTTATTTTATTTACTTAAAAAAAGATGAATTAATCGTTGCGCGAGAAATTACTTTAATTGTTGTACGAACGATCAATAGGTTTATTTTTTATTTGCTATTCATTACTAATAATAATAAATATTTTTTCTCGTTATTAAAACTTGTGAATTATATAGTGATTTGATCTTGTTCAATCAATGTAATTATATTTGTCTACAGCCTTTCGATTATATTCGTATTCGACTATCATTAGTATATAGTCTGTTGTTATAACTACAACGAGTCTTATTTTTACTATTATAGAGCTAAACATAGATGTTCAAACTATACTAGAAAAGCTTTCAGAGAAGAAAAAAATGAAGTTTGAATTTTTCTATTGAACAAAACAATTTTAACTGTCTATTCACAGTGGTCATACAGGCGGACGTCTGGCCAAAAATCGAAGGTGAGCTCTTCTGTAATTTGAATAGTGTCGTCTTAAGCTAATGTCATATTCGGAATCAGTATGAAAACTTGCATCAAATGATGTTTAAGTTATTAATTTTACAAATAAAACATTTTTTAATAAAAATTCAGGATAATTACTCTGAAATTTTCGTAGGGGACCCTTAACTCTCTGAGTGCGATAAGCCACGATCGTGGCTTTCCATTTATGGTCTTATATTTCTGCTTGTTAGCCAATCAGTGCGGACTAACTGCTATCCAACTACTACCCAAATTTTCGAGCAATTTTAATTGCTATTCGGTAAGTTGATGGAAAATTTTGCTGCGCCCTCAGAGTCCCGTAAGAAAATTTTTATCGAAAAACAAATATTTTTGAATTCGAGTTTTATTACTATCTAACGCATAATAAGAGCATATTATGCGAAAATAATCATCGTTTAACTCAAAAAAACGACATGTCCGCCTGCTCTAAAAAAAAATGCCTCCTGTGCTGTTGTTGTACGCAAACCGACTTTCTGTTCTTGTATAATCAATCAATCATTCATGTCAAATAGAATTCAATTTCAAAAGTAATAGGAGAATACAGTGTTCTCTATTTTTCTGTTGAGATCGTTTTCATATTGTCTTTCTCTAACTGTTGTGTGGTATGAAATAGAAACGTTGACGAGTAGTTTTTCATATTCTTTTTGTTACCACGACATATTCTTGTTTTCTCTTTTCATTTCTGTTGTGCTCAAAAAAACATTTATACTATGTCCAAAATAGTAACAAAAACCAATTAATTTTCTATCATCAAGATAAAAATGTGCGATACACTAATGACTCATAACACACAATAATGCAATATTTTTAAAAAGAATATACTGTTGTTTCATCTGAAATTTTTGCTTTGTATTTTTCTTTTCCATCGAATATAGTTACATCGCAACTTCTTCTAACTATCGCAAACTTACATCACACTTTATCCTTACTATTTTTTACCAATATTAGTCAGAGAAATTCAGAAGAGCTTTCACATTTTATCCAATACAGAAAACGCTAAGAAGTTTTCCTTATTTGTTTTGATCTTGCATAACTACGACTATATGTTCAATATTTATGTTATTCACCTGTTACAAGACTATGTTAGAAAATATCGTTAGGTGAGAATGCATCTCATTGTTTCATTAGGAAACTAACATCGAAACATAGAATTAGCGATTATTTTATTAATTATACAAAACGACAAAAATAAGTCAAGCACTAGAGCATTGTGAAAAAGAATTCATGTCTTTTATTTATAAATTATTGCTTGCTAATTTAATTGAAAATTTCCCCGATCGTTAAATGAATTGACAATAACCGATGCATACATTGTATTATTAACAGGGTACAACGGTAACATTTGTTTTTGTTTTATTGTTGAATTAAATGAATTTTCAAAATAATAGACATACGTAGCTGAATCATCTTGTTCATCTAATGTAACATTTTGTTGTTGTTGTTGTTGATCAATAAATGTTACATTCAAATTTCCATCATTATTAAACGAATCAATAGCAAAGAAAATGTTTATCATTGTATTAGGACACTGCATGGTTGAATTCTCTTCTCTATCTTTAAAAGCATTAAATATCCAATTAAATAGAAAATTCTGAACCCTTTCTCGATCTGTGATAACACCTTCAATCGTATCATTTAATATTAAATGTAATTCACCGTGATTATTAAATGAATCCAATAGAAATGCAAAACTAACTGAACTACTATTTGTACATGAGCCAAAATTAGGAATTACAGTTTCCATTTTTGATTCTAATTCTTGTCCTGTGGCACTGGATGTTAAAAATTTTGAGAAACTTGCTTCCTGTGATGCATTGGTATTAAATGTAAATTGACGATCACCAACAAAATTAAACGAATGAAGCATGCCAAAGACATTGATCGATATTGAAAAATTTTCGAAATTATCATTCTCGTCAATTGTTGTTGAATTATCTAATTAATGTGAGAGGAAATGATATTAAAGAAAGGTCGTTCCACTTGAGGATCAACGGGCGATTTCTACCTGTTTTGTTTCACACAATTGATGAACTTAAATTCATAATGTTTGAATCACGTACTGCACAGAGTTGGGTAACATCTTCTGTTATGGGTTAAACATTTATTTATAAAATGACAGGCAGGCAAATTTCAACCGATGACTAACTAAAGGAGGAATTTATTGTAGAAGTCTTTTTTACCAACGTGACTAATTTCTAAAGCATTGTATCATTTAATTGAGTTATCAGCTGAATTTTGCCTGCTGGTGATTGTACAGAGAAATGTTTAAGCTGCAATAGAACATGTTCCTCAACTCTGGAAATTAGGTGATTCAAGAGTTATGTATTTAAGCTAAGTTAATTAACTTGTATGAAAACAAAACATGTGGATTTCACTCAGAAGTTGATCATTTAGGTGAAATGTTACGCAAATGTCAAATCATTCTGACTTCTTCTTGTTTGGTATTAATATTTTAGATATTGCTGAACAAATCAATTCTTTTCTATTCTCGCTTACCTTCAGTTGTTGTGTTATTGAATGTTATTTCAACGAGATCAGACAGAAATTGTTTTAATTTTGCGTTATTTAACACTTCAGTTAAATGTTTACGTGTGTTCGATTCGTTTAAATGTGTGGCATTTCCGTCGCCATTGTAAACATTTAAAACACCCAATATATTTAATGATACTTCAATTTGAGTAGTATTTCCCGAAGTGGTTGAGTCATTCTGGACATTTCCAAAAAAAATATTTTTAATCAACGATTTCAATTGCTTTTCATCATCTGGACTAATTGCCTGTTGTTCAGGTACAGATGTTGAATATAGTTGAGAATAATCCTTTAGTAAAATATTTAATAAAAATTGATTAGTTGGAATATCAACAGGTGTTGAATTGTTAACATAAACATCACCAGTTGTAACGTTGGATGGAAAAGCTAGGAAAAACAGAAATAATCGCAGTCAATATAAAAACGATCAAATTCAGATCGTTCCGAATGTTCCTACGTTGGCATCCTGTTGTTTAGAATCAATAGCTGAAATAGTTTTATTCGAATTAGGATTACAGAGAAATCCTTTTTACACGTTATGTAGAATTCTTTTATCCTAACTTATTATTTATTGTATTTTTACTGTTTTATTACGTAGTCTATACCAACATATTTCTTTTGGTGTAAACTACGATATTTCAACAAGGAAAAAATTATTATACGTACTCGGAAAAGCATATAAACCACATATCATCACCAAAGGTAATATAAATTTATAACTCATTGTTATGATTTTAGAATCAAAATTGCGAATATATAACGTATGAGCAGTGTGTAAGTGTATAACTGAATGAAGTTTTTAGTCAACTATTTATATGAGAAAAAATGAAATATCAAGTTGGACGATCTATCTCTTTGTCGTATGTTGTTCTTCTATATGGCCTACCTTTGATACTGGCGATTGATTTAAACGTCCACATGTTACAGGGCCCAACGTTCCACATGTTCATCGCGTGGTTTCAAGGTCATTCTATATATTCGTCCATTTCATTGTTCTTGTTAGTGTATCGTCCGCAGTAGTGTATATAGTGATACTATTCGCTTTTTTCCTTACACACACTTCGATCATTCTCGTTTTTTTGGTCTTTAAAATATACATTTCAAAACGTAATTATTACCCGCAACGTGATTATTACCAAGCCGTTTAAGATCAGATCAACATCGGCCTAATTCATAGTGTGCATTTTTCTATAGAGTAGGCGGACATATGCTGTGGAAGTGGTACGAAAGTCTATAAGCACGTTTTTCTAAAGATTTTCGAATATGCTCTTTCCAATGGTGAGATTTGCAGAACCCAAATATAATTTTCTGTGGATTTCTGGAGACCGGATCTCCGAAAAATCCATAAAAAATATTTTTCCATTTTAGAAATCTCACCATTGAAAAGAGTTTGCTACTGTATAACTGTATAACTCAGTTTGGTCGAAGATATTTCTGCACAAAAATTAAGAAGCTATACATCATCCGGTGCAGCTTTTTTGCGCTGATTCCAAATATCTAGTTGATTTTGTCTCAACATGTTTTAGAATAAAAATCGAAAAAATCGAGGTTTTTGAAAAACCTATAACTCAATACAGAAGCATTTATGCATATTTATGCTAAGTCTATAGATATATCATAAGTAATGAACAGTTTCTGAAAGTTTGAACACATTCGGAATTGAATGTGAGTGTGGCAGTAATTTTACTGAACGCGTCTTCTCGGAAAACTCGCTAGAAAAATGTTTCACCTTGTTCCTCCTGACAGCTAAATTCCTAAACCAAATATATTTTTAGAAACCGATAGCAGTCGGTGTCTAGATGATTCAATTTTTCACTGGATGTTCGCTTGGATGCACACTGTGGAATAACACAGATCATATTTTTTTCTTTGTAATTATGCGTCAGCTGAGATAGAGAACAGTAGCATAGCATAATCGTCTAAGATGACGAAAAAAATCAAGATTTATAGAAGAAAAAATCATATTATCCACTGATAAAACGAAGATAAAAATATTCAGCAATTCCTCTAAATACCATCCTGGTTTAAGATTACCATTCATTTCAAAATATAAGGCACGGGGATGTTTCTTCGTAGTACAAAACAATATCTCGTTTTTCTTGTCGTACAAGTACTGGAACACCTTTGAGCCTTCTTCTTTCCTTCAGAAAAATTTCATCTATGATTGTTATATAGGTCATAATTTCATTCGACTGTTTCTTTTGTCTAATAATCATAATGAACTCAGCAGTGAAGACACTATGATGAACTTGAGCAATGCCATAAAATACCTTGATATAATTATCGCATAATTCATGCCTTTCTATTAAAAAAAATTGATCATAAACCAAATGCGGTATTAATTTTACGCTTAAATTAAATACAAGTCAGTGAATCATCAATAATTTTGATGATTACAGTATCTTCGACTGTTATTTTCATTACAAGCGATAACATTGCATACACACGATGAATAGTAAATAGAGTTCAGGAGTATTATTACTGAAATCATTGCCTAACACTTCATTAGGTATAAAATTGATACTTTTCTCTATAAAATATTCTTTATTGGAATAAAAAAAAGAGTTAAAACAGTTCATGACACTATTATATTCCAGCATCTTCTTTTGAAATATCAAATTCTAGTTGGTTTAACTAAAGTAGAATTATCTAATTTATATAATATAGTTTGACAGTTTAAAACAGATGATAAATGTTTTCAAAACAGTAATATGTTGTATTTTAAAAACTATTAATGGATGGAATGATGTTGTAAGACAAACATCTTTCTTTTCCTTATTCTATTGCAAAAACAGAACATTTACTCATAATAAATTTCATCTGAATTTTATTTTTAAACTTTTATTTTTATTTTTCTTCTCTCTCTTATTTTAGACTCTAAATTTTATTTAAGTGCTCGCGAATTATAATAGATATTTCCCGATTTGTTAATTAATAAGCAAAGTTTAAAAAACAAAAAAGATAATATCTTATATAAAAGATATTACCTTTAAAAAATGATCGATAAAAATATGAGTATTACAATTAATTACACTTTTTATCATAATGCTTGAATAATCATCGATGTGAGAGTAGGATTATTTCTGACATCAAGATTAATGTGTCAATTTTTTTTCAAATAAACACTTTTTTTTGAAGATAACACTGGCAAAGATATTTCATGTATACATTAGAAAAATTCCAAGTATTTCTTCCTGTTTATAATATCGATTTTATGGACTATTACTAGATTTTTGTATTTATATAATGATGTGCAATGTATCGCAATAAAAATTTTAAAATTATTCGGTTCAATAGTGAAATGGTTATTGCCTAACAGAAAAAAACCAACGTAACAGATACTATCAATAATTCATTTGAAATGAGATAATCTACGATGCAAAAGTAATTGAACAAATGTCGAACATTATTTCTATATGTCACTAATGGACCAGAAAGTTAATTATTTTTCCGTTAGAAAGATCAAAATTCTTCAACTACAAAAAAAAATATAGATAAAGAGAAGGTTCAGTTTTAGTAAGAAAATATCTAAATATTAAAAGTCACTAAAAATAAAGCATTTGTAATTTCCGCCCTCTCCAAACGTATCCCTCTTATCAAACATTATATTTGTTGTATGTCGAATACATTTGAAATTTTATGTAATTATAGAAACTAGACGTGTTTTTATCCCTTTTTCAAATGGAATATAGTGAATTATCTTTTGATCCATTTTTCAATCAGAAATTGTCAAAGTTTTTCATTCGTTTTAGAATCACAGTTAATTACAGTCAATTAATAGTTTTCAGATACCGATTGAAATTAGCTAAAATACATTTTCTAAAAGAGCATTCAATTTTCTACAAACTCACACTGTTTGAGTCCTGCATAAACACATTTTCTCGATATTTTATTGCTCTGATATGAGTTAGTACTTTTTATCAAAATTGAGTTTTATATGCCTTTTCTTACCTACTAAGAAAAAATTACTGAGATATTCAAAAATAAAGGGATACGATAGAATTTTGCACTGGCTATATTCTCATTTGGCTTCCAAAAATACCTTTTTCTTTAAACTCAGTGAAAAATAAATTACTTTTGCATCATCAGTCAGTCTGTTGTCACCCATATTTGATAGGCACAAAGTGTCTTATAGTTGGCAACTACCAAAGATGTGTTTACATTTTTTGTCTCATATACCCTCAATTTCTTCCAGTAGGGTCTGATTTTCACAATTATGATTTTGGAAAAAAACTGATGATTTTTTTCGGAAAGATTATTAGATATTCAGACTGGTGTCCAAAAGTAAAAAAACAAATCGACATACAATCATGGCGAAATAAAAGCAGAAAAGCTTGTTTTTCTAGCATATATTCAAAATATGCATTTTTCTGAGAAGGTAGAAAACTACAAAAACTTGGTTTTTCCAGTATAAATTGAAAATATGCATTCTTCTAGAAATGAGGAAAAGGGAAGGTGAGAGTCAGCCTCCCTCTGATATTCGTCACCGTGAAAGAAAACAGAAAGATACCTGAAGATCTGTATATCTAGATATCTGAATATCTAAATATTTAAACAATTAAATATCAGAATATCTAAAGATCTAGATATTATGTAATTGTCGATGTTCACAAATCAGATCAGTCACTTTTCTTCACATTGTTCATCGGTCTGTTGTGAATAAAGTAGAAAATAATAAACCTATACAATAAAAAATAGATTTCAATCATTTATCGTTGAGGTACGTTTTGATTTCTATGTAATAAATGTCATGTTGAGAAAATTTGCGTTAACTAGAGATGTTTGATTCTCGATTCTGTTTTATGTTCAAAACCGAAACCGTGGTTCCGGTTCTCGACTTAGAATCAGAACCACGGTTCTCTGTTCTCAGCTTAGAACCGGAAAATAATTTTTCAGGAAGTCATAATAATAATAGTACAGTAATAATTCAACAAATATAATTCATTTTATAGTAAACGAAAGGACTCTTTTAAATGATGACAGACAAATATATCTTTTTGTACCTTCGTCGGTAATGTTTTTTCATTTTGTTAAAAGAAAGGCAAGTCAAAAAGTATCGGTTCCGGAAAAAGGAGCCGTCTAAGAAACCGCGATTCCGATTTCATTGTCAGAACCGGTAGCGGGGTTCCGATTCGTGATGAAGAACCGAAAATAAGAGAACCGCGGTTCCGATGTTTAATAAGAATCGAGAACCGAACATCCCTAGTGCTAACTGTAGTATTTTCCTTGGAAAATAAAGTACAAAAGACAATTAAAATAACAGAAGTATATCATTTCACAAACTTTCAAATTCTCAAATTTTTTTTTGCGAACTTTTATGCTTTGTAATATGTCACATTGTCTGCCACACTCAAATACCTTATTAAAATAGAAATTTCACTGTGAGACCTGATCAATAGAAATGTTTTCTATAATGCCTTTTCTTTCGGTGAAGAGGCTAACAAATATTAGTCAAAAGAGATGATTCAACTAGTGTTCATCTTTCATAGTTTCACCTGCTTCAGTACATAAATAACCATTATTTGATAATTACAAAAGAAACGTACCGATTCGTCAGAGAAATGATATCATTGCTATAAAACAATTTCTTGAAGCGAATGTTTTTGTCCTGTTACGGTATTTTAACTAATTTTTAAACTTAACTCATATATATATATGCAAAACGAACCATTGCTATGAAATGTTACACCAGATTTTTGATGTTTCACCAATTGACCAAATTGAATCTTTATAGACAGCGCTTTTCTTGACATCGAATTGTAGACCAGGGTTGCCAGAACTGGTGACTCATGGGGGCCGGAACAAAGGATCACCATGACAATTTCTTTGTTCCGTTCCCCATGAGTCACCAGTTCTGGCGACTCTGTTGTAAACACTCAAAAACGAAAGAAAAAATGTAAGAGCTTGATAGTTGTTTTTATTTTTCTCAGATACTATTGAGTTATTTGAATAAATTATTTCATTATTGTTTTTAAACGTATATATTATTTTCTTTCCAAATCATAAAATTACATCGAGACAAAAACGGGTTAGAATAGAAGAAGTATATCACATATACGCCAAAAAAAAAACAACAATACATATTTGAATGTTTAAAACCCATAAAACTATATACAATAAAACATGGATGGAGAAGGATTGAAGAAAAATAAAAATACACACAATAGGAAACAACAAAATAAAAAAATAACTTTTATTTTAAATTTAAACTTAAATTTGATGATAATGTTGAACTATGAATACTGTCACTGTTTCTCGATGTTATTTGTGGCGATGGTGGTGTAACATTTATTTCACTGTAAATTGGTGTGGATGATTTTGATAATGGTAGTGGTGATGTTGGTAATTTAATCCATTTAAGATGAATTCGTCCACCATAACGTGTTAATAGTCTATCTAATTCTGCAGCTGTTAAGTGTTCGTCTAAAATTTGTTCTCGACCGTTGAGTGTCCATATAAGAGAACCGGATGACGGTTGAAAACGTTGTTGAGGACATAAATGTTGTGGTGTTGGTTTATTAAATGTGTGACACGTTTTTACATGAATTACAATAGTATTCAGAATATCTTTACATGTAGCTGTTTTGAGTGGACGTAAACGTAGAGCAACAATTGCCATTGGACTTAAATAAGATTCGGTTTTCTGACTATATGTTGTTGGTACGTATAATGTTAAATCATTTACGGTATCATGGGCATGAGGTAGAGTATGATGATTATTGGTCGATGATGTTGAGGAAATTGTAGATGTTCGTGAACGTTCTGACGATGATTCATTGTCAATAAATCCGCTATCCGAATGAGTTAAGCATGTGTCTGTTACAAGAAAAAATAGTTTATCATCACCTGTAATTGGATTTGTGTTGTTACTATTCATTATCGTAGTAGTATCAGCAATAGTGTTCGTCATTGCTGTACGATGATTATTGTCCGGAATGGTATTGATCATTGATGTTGATAATGTAGGTAATAGGAGAAGAGAGGATGAAGTTGTTGGCGCTGATTTAAATTTTAGCACATCCAATGCACTATCCGATGCATAAGCATCATTAGCTGCTAATTGGCCAACTTTAAGACGAAATTCATCATGTAGGGTCGTTGTTGTAGTAGTAGTACTAGACGTATTGTTTAACGATAGCCATGATGTTAATGATATACCAGCATACGTTTTATCCTTGGCACAATTAATAACATCTACTAGCCACCGCGATGTACGCCAAATATCATCTAAATCTTGTTGACAATTGAGTAATTGATTTAAACGTGTTTTTGACTCTTCTAACTCTGTCATAGAGAATGCTTCACGTTGAATTTGTTGGGCAACGAGTAATTCAAAATCAAGACATATTGATACACGACTATATTGGGATATGAAACGATAGTTATTACTTAAATGTTGTACTAAAATTAAAAGAAACAAATAGCAATAGTTAACAAAAATCAAACACAGGACAGAACAGTGAAAACTAAACAATAATATAATATAAATTTTTTATAAATGAAAGATTATGACAAAAGAATAGTTCTAACTGTAGCTTAACTAATAAATGAATTGGAAATTCAACAATTTAAAGAAGTCATGATGACCTTTATGGTATAGTTCCACTAAGTGTAACTAAACAAACTAACATGTCATAATGAGACGATACTAAAAAAATATCATTATTTTTTCTTTTCTTCTGTTTCAATAAGAAAACGCCAGACATAGTTATCAATCTTATTTCATTCTCTGTATATACTTCGAATACATTGTAATCAAATTTGTTTATTAATGTAATCAATAATAAATACTTACAAATTTCAAATATATAAACGGGTAAAAACATGAAATTATTTTCTTGTATATGCCTTGTCATAGAAGGTGTCGATAATACATTAACTTCATCAGCTGTTGACATGAGAATAATCAATGATAAATCATCACGAACTTCCACTACTTGTGAATCGTATATACGACTATTGGAAAAACGTGTCTCAGGTAAATCTAAAATAGACAAAAAATTATATATATATATACTGATCTATATCAAAAATTCGATTAAAGAAAATAAATTCCTATAAAAATATTTGATATTGTCGGTCGATTACTATTGATAGAGTTAAATGCATATTTTTATATCTACTTTAACCACAAATGTAAGATATTAAAGACGCTTAATTCTCGAAAATAATGTAAAACAGAGTATTAGTTATATTCATGTTATTATTCTATTAATGAATTTTCCGTATTTATAACACGAAACTTACTTAACATTAGACACAATTGTTTGGCTGCTTGACTGAATTGTTGTTTAAATGATATTATATTCATTATCGACGATTCTGAATCTTCATTAACAGATGATGTTGAACATACTAAATCTAAACCATTTGAAGTTGAAACGTCAGTTGAAGTTTGATGTAACCATTCCCATTCTTCTCTAAAAGCGTCACAATATATTATTTTTATAAATATAATAATAATTCAATATTTATTTTGTTACCTTGATACATTTGAAATATTTCTTATTTTTGCACACGGTAGCATGCCGGGCATACGTCTATCGACCATGACTCGAACAGAATCGACACTATTTTGCATTTTTAAATATGCTAAATATAAACCACTATCTAAACGATTTACTGATGATTGATAAAAATTGATCAAATCCTAGAAAAAAATGAATATAAGATATCTGTATACTAGCATATTTAGTGATATACATACTCCTAGTTTATCAGCTATCTGCTGTATACATGTGAGCTTTTTATTTGATTCTGTTTCTTGAATTTGTTCTCGAAATCGTGCAATAGATGACCATTTTAGATTGACAGGACATGTACGTAAATCACCGTGTAATTCACATATTAAAACAAATGCTGCAGTTTCATAATTATCACGAACAAAATGATGATGTAAACGTCCAAGGTTCGTCATGTCTAATAACATCTAACAAAATATTAAATATTAAATTTGAGTAAATTATAGATACTAATTTCAAGTACTAATGAACAGATTTTAGATTTATTTTTTATCAATAAAATTATAATGAGAAGAAAATATAAAAATATTTCTTACTTGTAATTCAATGGCTGCTTGTACCAGTTTCATTCTTAGAAAAAATGTTGTTGCACTTCCACAACGTTCAAAATTAGGACGTAGTGTTTTTAATTCATCCCAATCAAAGCTAAGCTAAAAAAACACACAAAATAGTTATGATTAATATCTATTTCTTAATAAAAGATATACTAAACTATTATACCTTGATAAACCATTGAAAATCTGCTAATAAATTATTTCCATAGTTTTCATCCACTTCAACCATGGGAAACATATCTTCATTACTAATTAACATTCGATCACCATTGAACACGATAGACACCAAATATAAACCACTAGAATACGAAAAATTTATAAATTAATAATGGACAAAAAATTATAGTTACAAAATATTCATAAACGTTTCTCTGTTTATTTCGACATTAATTGGAGTAACCCAATCACCCATTCATCTGATGATCGGAAGCTAATCCAATTCTGTCATATTCGACTCATTTTAATCATCAACTGTAATACTGAATGAAATACGTGCCGATAATCGAAATATGGTCGAATCTGACTAGAATCTTCGATGTTTTAATATTAAGAATTCTTCAAAGGGAGTTAACCGGTGTATTCCGGATAAGAATTGAAAAGAGAACGGAGTTTACATAGAATGGACAACGGTTTGATAATTACGTCAAAATTTGTAATTAAAAGAGAACGGAATAAAAAAAGTCGAAAAGAACGTGGATTTTTCACAGAAAACAGAATGGATTAATTAGTTGATTAGTAACGAGGTTATTCTCGCGATATTCTTAAAGTCTCTTCCACTGGTTCATAGAAATAGTATCAAGATCTATTGGCAATTTGCATAGAGTTCGTAGTATAATTTTCTTGAGTATGAAGATTAAAATGTAACTATTTGCATGGCTAGCGGATATCTATTATTTTAGCCGATACGTGGTCAAACCATACTTTTCTCTTAAGAAAGTCTTTGTAGATATTAGTGAATCTATTCTCTTTCCAGTGCTTTTAGAAATACATAAAAAATCGTTCTCCAATAAATGAAAAAATGTCGAAATGTTTTCAATCCTCATGCTATGATGATTCCATTCTGTTTTCGTATTTTACCCGTGCATTCGTAATCGATTTTGAAAAAATAATTTTATCATGATTACATGTAATTTTCCAGTTGATTAGCAATAAGGACACGAGTAAAATAATATTAGAAAAAGAAAGTAGCAAAGAACAGGTATCCCCATCTACTACAGTAATACCAACAGAAAAATGCGTAATTCGACTAAACCCAACCGTTATTGATACAATAATCTGACATTTCTAGTTAGGTTTGTTTGTCAAAAATTCTCGGAAGTTTATCATATGAGTTGCTTCTTTGATCTTCTTTCGACAATAAGAATAGCTTACGAGAGAACCGACTGGTTTTCCGTGCTAAAAACCTCTTTTTGCGAAAAAAAGTTTTCTGATCTGTCCAGATTGTAGAGCGTATCGAATCGTCTATAAAACACTAAATTTTTGTCATTTCAAATCGATTTTAAGCGCAGTTATAGGGACTTGAAGTTGAAAGAAACTTTTCAGAAGAATTTATTCAACTCTCTATAACCGCGCTTAAAATCGATCTGAAATGACAAAAATTAGTGTTTTAGAGACAATTGGATACACTCTACAATCTGGACAGATCAGAAAACTTCTCTGGTAAAAAACCGCTTTTAGTTTTGAAAACCGCTTTTCCAAAAAAACAGTCTCCGAAGACTTAAGGGAAGCTCTTATGGTCATATTCTGAATCAGCATCGTCGATAATCTATAACCCAATAGCTTTCGCTAAAAAACCGATTTATCAGTCGGGACAGTTTCCTCGTTAGTTGCTGCTTACCGTTTCATTGTTTTTTCTAATTTTGGATGTAATTGAAGTAGTTGACGAACATTTTTTCGTATATGTCCATAACTTCGCCTACGCTGTCTCGTTGATGATGGATTTGGCATCTCAGGTGATTCTAAAACGAATAATAATTTAGCTAATCGACTATGGTTTTATACTATATAGATAATGGAGTCTGTACCTTGTCCTTCAGCCGTTGTTGCTGAAATTTTGTCTGGTTTGATCCTATTTAAAATTTCAGTGAATTTTGTTTCACATAAACTTTGACGAGATGTTTTTGAAAATTCACGCCAACTTGATGGTATACAAAAAGGGGGATTAGTTATGGTGGCTGGACCAAAACCTAGAAAATTATTCAAATTTAAGTAATAAAAATTGGTAGAAAAACATTCACCTTACCTTTCATGTTTCCAGCTGATACTCTCACATAACATCGTATACCAACTGATAAATCTCGAATAACATATTCATGTACAAAACAATTTCTAACGACATGAAATTGAACTAGTTCACTGAAATCCTCTGATGTTGACCATTCAACTAAAGAATAAAATGAATTTTTAATATTTCACAGTATTATAGTTTGTATGAGTATTCCACCTTTGTATTTTGTCGCTAATCCTCCGTTGACTCGTATCGGCTCATCATATGCCACTGTGATACTACTGGATCCTGTTACCATTAATCTTACATTTGTTGGAGCATCTGGAACACCTGAAACAACAATACTAATTAATATAAGATGATAGTACTCACATAATATGCGTCAATACGACCTGGTCAGCTAAGTCTGCTAGTGAAGTTTTATAACGCTTTTTTTGCCGTTTGTTACTCTTATAATTTTTGAACAATGAGATGTAACAGAGCTCTGAAATGTCTCAGATTAAAGAAAAAAGTGTGCTGAAGATTTTGAGATGTACTCGTACTCTATATAATCTTTCGTTCAGAAAATATAATAAAAAAATATCTGGTAGAAGTACAGAACAGTCAGATGATTGATTATTTTTAAGAATCTATTGCTATTGATGTTAAGAAACTCTATTTCATAATCTTATTGTCTTCTACTTTTCTGGCAATTTTAAACATATGTTTCTATCATGTAAATAACACACTTTTATTTATGATGAGATGTCACTTACCTAATTAGAACATACGACTTCTAAGGTGAAAAATCCATTATTTAAACATATCATTAGCATCATTTTCAATTAAAAATGTAGGTGTATGGTAATACGCCAAAAGCTTGAATAAGTCAACAACACAGATGCTAGTGATATGTTTAAAGACTGTACTCCGTAGCAGTTTTATATCCTTTCCTTCTTTCGTTCTTTACAACTGTTCTACTTTGTAAGAAATCCAGTTTGGATCTGGACAGGACATCCGTTGATACCTTTTAATATTCATAAAGATTCCGATGAAGTTTTTCTGCAAAATCTTGGAAAAACTTTATATTAAACATATTTAAAAGTCTGAGCAACTTGAAGCGATGGAGGATAAATAAGAGTTAAGTATAAGTAACATTCCTTTTGGGTAGGATAGGAAACCTTCAAAAAATTGATTCGTTTTACCTGGTTTCAAATTCCAAAACCTTTTCGAGAAAGATACACGTTTTTTAGAGAGTAAAATAGTCTAAATCCCTGAGTATACATATTTTCTGACATGATCTTTCAAATGAGCAGATTGAAGAAAAGCGTCAGTAACTCTACGTACTTTAACCAGAAGGAGACCGTTATTGAAATAAAATCTAAATTTTTAAGAGACTGCGTAACACGTTTTGTTGTTTAATAGATCCTCTTAAAGAGAATTCAGATATTTGACTTCCATATCTGGCAGTTTTAAACAACCTGTAGAGTACGAATAAAAAATTTGAGTTAATCCGTTTTGAAAATGCGACTACTGACGGATTAGTCTATCAACGACTTTCTTTTTTAATAATATCGCGTGAAAAAGCATGAAGAACCGAACTAAACGTAGGAATTAACAAATATATGTCACCATAATGTGTTTATTTATGTTTTTGAAGGTCTTTTCAAGTATTCGTTGCTGTTAATAGCGAAAACAAACTAGATAGTTACCTTGTCATACGAGATAATTTATGTTCATAATGGAAAAACTGATCTAGTTGTCAAAATCAGAAAGGATTAAGCCTCATTTCTAAGTATGAAAAAGTGTCAGTAATTGATGTCAAAAATATAATATTTAATTTTTGTTCTTTCGAGTTCTGTAGGAAAGAGCGTGAAGAAAAATTAACTATTATGTCGTTTAGGGGTTTCAGAAATCGTAATAATGAAGGTTAGCAGCCATCAAAAATTTTGGTCGCTTACGACGGAAGATCCCTAATGTTACTCTCGCATATCCTAATTTGTAGAGCTCGACGAGCTGATTATGATGGCATAAAGCATTTTCCCTCATGGCGCTTGAAGACCCGGTTTTTGGAAAATCAATTTTTCAGAAAATCTAAAAAATGACCAAAACTTTTCTTAACGATGCATAATTATAGCGCGCACATTTCTGATTAAAAGGAGACATCTCCCAGCTCTACATGACCTTTCTTTTCAAAGTTCTAGAATTTACAAGAAAAGCCCTAAATTAATTTCTTCTTATTTTTGTAGCTTTGAGCTGACAATGAACATTTAAGGCTTTTCTTGTAAATTCTAGAACTTTGAAAAGAAAGATCATGTAGAGCTGGGAGATGTCTCCTTTTAATCAGAAATGTGCGCGTTACAATTATGCGTCGTTAAGAAAGGTTTTGGTTATTTTTTTAGATTTTCTAAAAAACTGATTTTCCAAAAACCCGGTCTTCAAGAACCATGAGAGAAAATGCTTTATGCCCTCGTAATTAGCTCGTCGAGCTCTACAAATTAGGATATCTCTCATTGAAAAGTGAGAGTAACACTTGGGAAACCTTCCCTCCTTAGAGAGACTATTTTAATAACAGTAATATGTGTAAATTCTCAACTATAAGTATCCAACCGTTTTGGTGTCACACGATGGATAGATGTTTGCTCTACAAAATGACGTCTTACAGATCGTACTTCTGTCAATGAAAAGTTAAAAGGTGTAAAACTTAATTGTTTTCATGCAGTAAGGATTTAGTGGCATATGTTACAATGGACGATGAACTCATCGGTTTCAATTTCCTTAACTCCAACTCTTTGTTTCGTTTTCATGCTCTTTCGAATGATATTTTTTTAAAAAAGTAAGTATCTAAAGACTCTGACATTTAGATCACTTCACTGCGTGTGTAGGCGTACTATTCACATGCAAGGGGTATGTCTTCGTAGTATCAAACATGATAAGGTTATAAGATCAAAATATTTGTTAATTTTCAGCATAGATATTATGAATTCATCAACTAAGAAGCAAAAACTAGATAATTAGCATTCTACAAATAATTTATTATCAGTCTTATTTTAATCGACTTTGAAACCTTTAAAAATACCTTCATTGTTATTTTTTATTTTAAAATATTATTTGAAAGTCTTTAGAACAGATTAAAGTGTATTATTAAACAAAAAACATTTTCATTAAAAACTCATCTAATTATTACCCAAAGCTAAATAAATTCTCGCTACATATTTTCATTCTATATGTGTTCTTTTTCGAAAGAATTGTTAGTTTTGAGTTTATAAACTATCGATAGAAAGCTATTTACTAGTTTGTGATCTATTAAGACTATGTTATAAGATACTAGTTAGTTTAGTTTAAGCTTTTTATTTAAAGAAATCAAAAAAAAGAAACAAGAAAAGAAGACCAAACAAGTAAAATCGTTGTCCTAAGGACTACATTGTATCTCCTGAGAGGAATTCTTGAGATACTAGTTCTCTCGTTATAATAAAACTATTTTTCCAGTTTTGACAAGTTTAGTTTTATTGTAAGCTGATATTGCATTGCCGATGTGATGGATGTCATTCACATATCTGACAAAAGACAAAAATATTATTTATTTTTTCTGACACGCGTGTTCAAATAGGTCAGAAAACAAAACAAGACACTGATTTAGTGATTGATTTCTTTTTATCCCGCATACTCTAACGATGTGGCTATTTATCATGATCGAGATGAAAAAAACGACTCATTTTTCTGGTTTCTGTCTAACCAGAAACTCATTTGTCATTTCCATTAAAGAAGAAAACAAATGACGTAAAACGATTTTAAGAAATACAGCATATATACAATAAAGAGATTCTGACTCATGTATACCGACAAAAAAAGAAAATGATTAATTTCTTCGATGATTCAAATTCATTAATAATTGACTGACAGTTCAAATCAATGTATTGAACTTCTCTTACGAAGAAGTTTCGTTAATCACTTATTATCTATTCCATTATCTTTTCTTTTTTTGTTTTGCCGACACGATATCCTAGTATTAATTTCGATCATTGCTTCCCAGTTTTCTCCTACGCTAAACTTCACTTCAGTACGAAGTCAATAAAAAAAAAGTCACATGTTTTTGAAAGTCTCTGGAGATCTGATCTTCCATTAGTCATTGGTCGACACATAAGAAGAAGAGAAGAGAAACTATTTCATGTATCATATTTTGATCTTTTATCAGTATTACCGAGTCTCGATAAAACGTTACACTTGGTCGTACATATTATTATTCGTAGACGTCTTGTGCTAGTTATTTGTTGTCAATGTTTAACTTCAAAAATAGAAAAGTATCAGCAAATTCACAAAACTTTATATGGATCTCATTTTGACATACAAAAGAAAAACTTAATGAAAGAAAACTTACGTTTTTCTTGATCAAGTTTGGTTGCTGCATGTTCAATTCCTAATACTCTCCATCTTGATTTACTTATAAATTGTAGACATGTTTTAACAATGACAGCGCGAGCACGAAATCTTGAATTAGTTGTCTCCGATGCCGAAGCTTGATTAGAAACCTTTTCTACTTGTTCACCCGTTTCTGTTATAACTAAACCATTATTATTGTTAGACTTTCTGTCACTCATTTTATCCTCAAAAATTGATGTATACAGGTGTGAGAAAACAACAAATTTGTAATTATCTTGAATCGTGATAAAAAATTTGTTTTTTTTCTCACTCGTAGAAGGTAAATATAGATATTAGAAAATCTTTATACAATTAATTTGATCACTTTTCTTGCCGTCCCTGCTGCATCAGAAGAAAAAGAAAAAACAGTTCTCGGGGATAAGTTTTAACACAACTAGTTGCTTTTTTTTTTTTTTCTTTTTCCTTATTTTATTAATATATTCTAAAAGCAATCCGGGATTTCTGTCTCTCACTAGCTTTTTAATCTATAAAGAGCGTGAAAAACCTTTTGGAAATGCCAGATAGAAAAGGAGAAGAGAAAATAGAAAAGAAGAGAAGAGAGAAAAAGAGAAGAGACGAGAGGGGGCACATTACACACATCATTTTTATTATTATTTCTATTATATCCGGTGATATACTGCGCAAGGAAAAAAAAAATGAAGTATAGTTTTGATTACTCTTGAAAGTAATGATGATGATTATATCATGGCTAATAAACACTAATAACAGAGACCATCGTATTAAAATGAGAGAATCGTCATTTATTCGAAAGTATTTTTATTAATCACATACGTCTGTGTTCAATAAGACACATGATGACTTAAAAGAGAAGGTAATTAACATATCTCTCACACACGAATTCGAATGATAATATGTCAGAAGGTATAGAGAAATTAAATATACATGACGTCAAAAAGAAAACAGACATAGTCTTATTTACATCTAATTAAATAATCAGCATCGAATATTAGTTTTGCATGCAGAATGTAAATATCGATAAGCTTGAATACAAACAAATTTTTATTATTATCATCATCATCATCATCGATGCTAATACAATCAAGTTTTCCTGTAAAAACACCTTTCTAAAATGTACACTTAAATTTTATGTTTCGACAAACTATTTGTTTCGGTTTAAAAATGAATCTATTTAAAATGGACATCCTATCTAGTCTGGACAATGAAGACTTATTTTCAGTTTAGAACTACTCTATTAAGAGTAGATCATATCTACTGTTATTGTATCAAACTTATCTACAAATAAAAAAGTTTTGAGGAGTGTAAACAGTTACATTATGGATAATAGGAATAATTTAAACGTCTTTTTCTTTTTTTTTTTTTTTTTTTTTGGGGATAAGGGAAATAAAAAATTAAAAAATTTTTTTTTAGTTGGGGAAAAAATAAAAAAAATGGT